AATGGCATGCCGTAGCGTGATACCCAGTTTCACCAAGATGGGAGCATTGGTGTTTGTAAGTCTGATACCTGAACAGGGGACAAAGCTCGCAGATAGCGTTCCAAAGAAGAGACAGTATGGGTCCTGTAAGTACATCATTAACGATCTCACATTATAGATAAACTAGAAATCAAACCGCGCATATTGTCCATGCATTAAGTTGAAAAGTAGGTACGTCTAGCCTCGATGCACATTTCATGAGCTGGGCAGGCAGAGATTCGGACGAGAAAACCGAGTAGTTTAGGAAAGAATATCCTACTTACACGACTCTATAGGCCTGTTCGAATTGAAATAAAATAAAATTTATTATGTTAAATGTTTAATATTTGTAACCATGTGATAAACGATATTAATCTGAGCGTAATGTTAGACTGGGTTAGCAAAATTTGCTTAAACTATGCATTTAAACACTATAATGTTTTATTTCTTATACTTTCTCCTTTTCAAATTTTCTTTTAGAATATGCCATAAAAATATCAAACAATTTGAATAATTAAAAATTAGTTGTAGCCAGTCTCACGGACATACGGAAGAACGGGGTTGATAAAATCAGTCGGTTTGCTATATCGTGGCTAATTAGTTGCGTTTCAATTAGGTGAGTGGTCATTATTTTGTGTTGCTCGAACCGAGATGGAAGGAAAAGGCACGGCGCTGTTTTAGCTTCAAGCAGGCTAAGTGAAAAGTGTACTGTCGTAATAAAGCAGAATGGATCAGTTTGGTGTTTGCTGCTTGGTGGTGCCGAGACACGTCCTTCCCCTGCGTGCGCTCTATACTCACTACATATGTGACGTCTGAATAGTGTTGTGGGGGGAAGCAATCCCCCGGCGTCGCGACGACTTGCGAGCATCTTGCTGCAGCATCTGGTATTGACACCTCGATATCGCTACAGTCCTCTGGGCGTTACAGCCACCACATAATATCAGCAACTGCACACAGTGACTTGCAGTCTAACCTCAAACACCGCAACAGCGAGATAAAATATTGCGATGTTGTTCTAGGTTGTGACGCCGTGTTCACTCGTAGGTGCATACCAACGTTTTGGTGAAACGTACTGTCTCCATCTTCAGCGTCAATAACCAGTCAGAGCGTTTATTGAACATGTGCACACATACTGCTTCACAGTTACTATAAAAGTTTACCATTCGACACTGTAGTCAGGTGGATCAAATTTACAATCACAGAACCCACTGCCTCAAAAAGAATGTTAACATTATTCTCCTAGCTTATTCTATTTAGGTAGGTAGTGCACACTACATAGTCTTCTTCCGACAAGTTATTATACCATAATTCTGTACATCTTTATTTTTTCAAATCAAAACAAAGGCATTCTGCTGCCAATCACTAAATAATTAGGCGTACTATAAATATATCAGAAGGCCTATAGCGACAAAGCATCATTATTATTATTATTATATTATTAAGTGTTCTGTCTTACGACAGGTCCATTGCTCTGCCCAAAAAGAGCTCTCCAGTTTTCCCTATTCTCGGCTTCTCGTTTTAATTCCTGGAACGTCATCTTCTTTCCTTGTTTAAGATCGTCGGTTAGCTGTATCAATCTTCTTCCTAGTCCTCTCTTTCCTTCAACCTGGCCTTCGGTGATATCACTCAGTAATCCATTCCTTCTCATAACATGTCCCAGCCAGTTAGCTTTCCTTTGTGTAATCGCCTGCAGAATGTTTCTTTGCTCGTTAAAGCATCATATGAAGACGGAATGACAACCAACCCCACAATGTTGTGTACGTGTACAAAAACATCCTGTGACCATCGACAACTTTAAAAAAGATTGTATTTTCCTTACTAATAACAGCCAGCTTTTCAATCAAAATAACTGTTCTGTTTTTGTTTTTTATGGCATTTTATATTTTATTATGTGTTTCATTTTAGTGCTTGCCTGTAATTTGCCTTATCTGACTGTTGTCAAGTAAGTAAATAGATCAATTAAACTGAATTATGTGCCTACTAGCTGTGCACGTCAATAATATTACGAATAGCTGAATAGCTACGTCATCTCACTTGATAACAAGCTTCAAACACTAGCCTACGAATTCATTTAGGCTCAACTTTTCTGTCCTTGATTACGATATCGCAGTTCCCAGTTCTTTAACGACCCACTACATTTTACCCCGGGTGTTTATACAGTACAGCAAGCCTCACACACTTCGAAAGTGCTGTACATGGACGGCCGGACGGACTTTTCCATGGACCCTCCCGTCCGGAGAAATCATGCAGAATTGGAAGTGTGCATGGGTACAGAGGGGGCTTGATTTCATATGCAGTGTTGATGCTTGGAATTCGATTCCCTTCAGATAATTTGAATATTGCTCCTATTCGCCGAGCTGTGTGTTCTGCCGTTTGAATTATTAATGCACAGAACCTATGGTCTGTGCTATGCAATGCAATGCATGCATTACGTAGCACCGCTAATACAGCCGAACACAAGGCTCATAAGATATTCATACTCACATAGCATTTGTCATTTAAGCCAAACCTTCCTTCATGATGACTTAATGAAGAAATAATCGGTTTGACTAAATACGATTTATTTCAGGAAAAGCAGGCTAAAGATTCTAAACGTGTCAGAAAATGTCTTAACATTTTCAGACCAGAATGACAGAGAGGTATAATGAAAGAGCAAAGCAAAACACCGTTCGTAGGCCTAAAATTGGAATAATTTACAAATACTTTATTAAAACACAGCCTAATGTCCAGGGGGGAAAAATCCGAAATTTCTAGAAAAGGCCCGTTTGGAAATGACGGGAAATGATTTCTTTCATCGTCTAGATTCATAATTGATAACAGTAGTAAGTTAGAGAATGATGCATCACGTGGCTATAATAAACCACAGTGAACCTTTTAAGTGGCGCTGGATAAAGAACGTACATCATACACAAATATTTATGTTTGTGTGCGCCAAAAAACAGGAATGCACAAAAGGCTTTCAAATAATGTTGGTTGAAGTCTAATTATCAGGAAAACATATTTGGCACCAAAAATCAAGTAGGCTAACTGGGAAATTCAGAGCATCACACGCCAAGAAAATCAGAAGGCCTAATTTTTAGGGGCACCTCGTTTTGTTTAGGGTTACAATGGGCCGGGCAGGTGGCTGGACTACAGGGAGCGAGAAATGAGCAGGCTACAGAATAAAGGTGCTGACAATCAGACGGAAATAGTGAAAATGGGAGGTCACGGGTGGTAAGCGTGGCGTAGTGAGTCACTGCGCTCATCAACCCACGAGGTCTGCTCATTATTCAGCATTTCGCGTCTTCCGTTCGATGGTCACCCTGTGTTATTCCCACTGTTGCATCGAACGGGATTCGATCCCAGACGCCACTGCCACACAACGAGACACAACAGCTAGTCGGTAAGTGAGCGGTATTGTGTATGAGTGAGTCGTTCTGGCCAAAGAAGGAGGACGCTGGTTAACCCTACTGAAAACACCGCATCCAATCAGAACCAACGCACTAAGATCGCTATTGGTCACACATATTGACGTGGCTCCTCCCTGTTTGCCCTCCCTCCGCCAACTTCACCCCTCCGCGTACTTTACCGTCTTTACAGTCTGCGATCAATGCAGAAGGAAATGTGGGGGTTGCATAAGCTTTTCAATATAAGATATTTTCACGGGGGTTGATTTTCAGTTTATATATATGATGGAGAGAGAGAGAGCGATGATAAAATGAAGAGGAGCGAGAGAACGTTTTACGAAATTGATCCTTATGTTCCAAGGATGATCCCATTTGCTCCACATGGAAGACTACAATGCTCATAAGGACCGAGCGAAACGCTGTAATAAAAAGGCGTTGGTGGTGAGCAGGGGGTTGAAACGACTGAGGGAGGAGGGAGAGACTTCGGGATGAAGTTAGGTTAAGGGTCTGCTAAGTTACTATTGGCCTGTTTTATGAAAGCACGCTCCCTAAAAAAGGGGGAGGATATGATTTTTATTGTTATTATTATGATTATTACCGTATCAGGAGTAATGGTAGTAGCAGAGGCAGAGGGGGATATTCAGTGGTCCTGCTAGTCATTTTTTTGGATTCGGTCTTCGTGGCCCTTGAAGCCGTGCGATCGGCGTGGTGAACTGCATCCTCAGTGTGGCCCGACTGTCATGTAGTGTGCACATCAACAGTGGAACACGTGTTCAGTGCAGGGACGGATGAGCTGTCCAAAAGCTGTTACAGTTACGACTGAATAAGTTTATCTGGCTGTGTCTCTGTAATAAAGTGTAAGTTGCAGTCTACGAAGTTCCATATTGTCGTGGTAACGTTCGTGAACGCTAATACCGAAACAGTTTTCGTTAAAACTACACTGAATTATTCGAAAATTAGAACAATAATGTAAATTTAAGGACCTTTGAATTTAGTGAGCAAATGTTATAAGACGTTTACGTTTCATATATGTGTGTGTGTTTATGAAAATAGTGTAAGAGAGTAAACATACGACTACAGTGTATATTAATGTGTGTGCTTTGAAAGCTACAATACTTACTATGGACGTAAAAACTGAGATTCATCATAAATGGATTTTAAAATGCTTATGACACTTAAAATATAAATTAAGGTATTGCGGTAAAACCAACTACAATCTCCTCAGAGTAACGCACAAAATACAGACAAGAATTGGTGTGAAAAACGAGATGAAAAGTCGATATTACGTGCATACCCCTTACAAGAATAAATTTAGAAGATATTTACACCACAGCGTAAACAGCGTATTCTACTAGAAACTTCGCACACGTCGTGAATGTCAGCTGAGATACTAATACCACTGCAGATTGTAATAACTTTAACAATGGTCTCATCCAACAAATGGACAGAAATTACTTTAATTTGCAACTTCTAAGTAATATCATGTACCCATTTTCATTGGATACTTCATCGGCATATTCTACAGCGACTCCGTTTTATTACCAAAGTATGCTGAAGAGCTTCACGGCGCCTGTATTCAATACAACTCCAACAATTATGACGTCACCATTTCTTATGGACAACCTTCTTAACACAAAATTTGAACATTCACAACGAAATGGTGGTTCGCCTGGTAGTGAGAATGCGGGACCTCGGAAACTGTTGGACAGAGATTCAAGAGGTCTTCTTTCATGTCCCATTCCACCGAAGATTCCTCCAGCAGCATCGTATTACAATGGTAACACATCACCAGGAACTCTCAATGAAATGTTATCTGCCAAACAGCATCAACAAAACCAACTGGAACCAGCTGGTGGGTTGCTGAGCCCCCACCAAGAGGCTCTGGGGCCCACGGCTACGGCCTCCTTGACGCTGGGGATCACAGCATCTTATTCAATAGTTGCCCAAGACCCCCACGGTCTTCCAGCGACGCTGCCGGCCACAGCGAGGCACAACCCGCCGGCCATTGTCACGTGCTCGTGCGGGGGTTCCGACGACTGCTGCGCCTCAAAACGCGAGATCGGACACTCGTTGTCGTACTTTCACGGCCACA